GCCAACTTTTTTTCAAACAAGTAACAAATTATTTAGTATATTATTATGTAAAAACATAACGTTGTTTGGCATTTTAAGTATTTATAATATAATAAATTATTTACTGCATTGATACAGTTAAACATTATTTTATTTAAACTTTTAAGATTAAATTTTATCTTATTTCAAATATAGTGTTCAGGGGCGGACGATGAATTTTTTGTTATTTTCAAAGATTGTGAAAACTCTAAACTTAAAGCTATTTACAGTTTTATAAAATAAGAATGTTTCTCAAAAAATTGCTATGATTGGAGTCTGAAAACAAACATACCACTAAAGGTTTGCAGCCCCAACCCTAAATATGAGTACTACGAATATAAAAAATATTTTAATATACCATCTTATACAGACTTTATATTTCTTGACAGGTTTTAAATTTTAACCAATAACTTTTCATTGTTTAAACGTTACAACTTTGTCAATATAGATAAAAGAAATAGTCGATTTGAAGTAAATAGTAAATCTACATAATATTGGAGATCATATAATACCAGGTAAATGTAAAAAAAAAGTGTCATATCCAAAACAAAAAAATCCTGTACATAATCATTTGACTCATATGTTCGCCACTGGTGTTGCTGTTATCATTATCTTTAAATCTGTACCTCAGAAGACAAAGGTCGGTTGTCCAGTTTTTTGTAACAATGAGTTATGTACGAATGAAAAGACTGTTGTCCTACGACATTGTGAAACAAAGTTAGGTGAATTTAAAAGGTCAGTTGTCCCCACAAGTATTTTTATTTCCTAATGCTATAAGGTCGGATGTCCGCTAAAAACGTTAAAAACCACAATATTATTTTTTTGTCAAAATAGTATTTCATGTGCCTTAAGACAAATTAAATAAAACACGAAAAAAATTACATAAATTTAATCATCAAAAATAAGCCAATCATTCATTTTTAATTATTAATTTAATTTTTATAATTATCAAATACAGAAACTGTTTTTGAAAATAGTAAAAATTAAATTAATATTCCTAGAAACATTTTTAAACGTTATTTTCTTGTGAACAAATAGTTTTACAATTATAGGTAAAAACTTCGTCAACCGATCAAATCTCAATCAGATAAATCTCTAACTGCACACGGCGTTCAAAAGTCTAAAGACTTTTAAACAAAAGTCTAAAGTTTATATAATCAAAGACGTATAAAAAGATAGACGTTTAAGTCCTTTTTATGGTAATAAGGCACAGAGGCAGTGCTAATTATTAATTTTTTATGTACTTTCAAATTTTAGGCGTCTTTTTTTGAAATAAGTTATCAACATATATCCGACAATTTCGCTTTAACTTTGTCCAACAAACATTTTATTACCCGTAAAACACAAGTTTTTAGGAAAAATAAATGCATTTTTATAAATGAAAAAATCTCACGTATTTGAAAATATTTAAATTCATACAAAAACTGTTTAAAAAAAAAAAAAAAAAATTTAATTTTGACGTCTAAGAAAATATTTTTGCTAAAAAGCAAAATCCAAAATACTAAATATATACGGTTATTTATTGATCAAACTAGGTTTTGTTTGCAATCACTACATTTATAATTTACTAATATCTAAAAGATTTATATTAGAAGATAATTCTTGATTTTTTGACAAACTGCTTTTGTCTCACAACTTCGTTTTTGTATATTTAGATAACTGAATTTTTTCTGCAAGTAGAGATCTTGATTATTTATGTAGTTTCAAAATTCATAGATGATTGAATATATAAAATCTTTTTAAAGAAATTAGTAAGTTATATTATTTGCATAACTTTAAATAATATTTTTTTTAATTAGATGTTTAATACAGTCGTCAATTATTTTATTATCAAAACAACGTATAATCATATATATGACGTAACGCAAACTTTACTTGTTGTTTTACATTTGTTGTTTATAACTATTTACAGCGCAGATTTTTTGCTTTTAAACAATGAATTAAACGTCCATCTTTGAATAAGTTCTTGATCTAATTGAGATTGAAAGTAGGCGTCATATTAGCTTTACTTAAAAAAGCTGACATTCATAAAATGAGATATTGATTTAATTTAATGTTAATTTTTATCAATTGCTTAGAAATGACAATGTTAACTTGTAATATTTGATTGGCTATCTAAATACAAACAAATTTTGTTATGTTAGAATATTTTTTTTACCTTCAAAACTTTTATTTTAAAATTTTTGACTAAAAATATTAAAAGAATAGAAAAAAAAAGTAAATCTTGTTTTTTTGGTCTCTTTGTTTCCTTTTCGAGGACTTGATGGCATTGACTTTTCTTTTACTTTTTTAGTTCTGATATCTTTTAATGGAGCAACTGTTTATTGTTACATATCTAATTTTTATTAAACGCGTTCTGTCGTATAACGCTCCCAATCAAACAAATATTTTATAAAATTATAATTTACCATCGTTAAAAAGCTTTAAAAAAAAAATAATTAAATGCATAATAAAACTTTTAAACTCTAAAGTAGTTGCTTAC